AGGATCACCGAGCGTAAAGCGCAGCTCGATTCTGTCTCGTTCTAGTGTTCCCGTTAGTCTAGCGTCAAGTTTACAGTCCAAGGCTCGATTCCCTGCAGTGGACAGAGCATAGATAGCTTATTGCGTATCTTTTTGTTAAACAAATCATTCACAAAAAAAAAAAGAACTGAAATTGTGTTAGTTCTATTTAAAAAAAAAAAGTATTTCTTGCCATATTTACGTATCAAGTGCTTGAGAGAAACATATGTTTAAGCTTTTGGTACTTGTCATATTCTGCTTCCCAGTTTAAATGTGAGTAGTCAATAATGTCAACCATATTGTAGACAGTACATGTAGTGTGTATAACTTTGGCCTTAAACAGTCTTCATAAACGCAGACATACACTCTACAGGCCTTTGTAAGTTTTCACTTTAAATAAGTGATGTTTACGGTCTAATGAAACTTGTCAATATTCAAACAGAAAAAGAAACAAGTTGTTTGTTAAGAAAGCATAAATTTCGGAAGAACATATCGATATCTAAATATATAAATTATTATTTAGTTACATTGGCTGTAGCCAATAACGTGTCAGTCCTGTGACCCTCCTCTCTCCCGACTCGGTCGGTTTGAGGGCTCATAACAACCCAAAACAAACTGTACTGTAAATCTAAGTGTTCATCGCTAGAGTCCTGATGACCAAAAACGTGTCCTGTCCTTTGGGACGATGGATATGCTTTAAGAGGGACGGTTAAATCCCACTATTCTGTCAGATAAGAGTATCCCTAGTTTTTCGGTATAGTTGCCTTGGTCACGGTTCCAAACTAGGAAAGGCTATGTTTAGATAGTCCTTTCTGAAATAAACTGAATCTGGGAACTACAAATTTCATCGCACAAATCAAAAGCAAGAAAAAAAAACATCCTTAATAAGCGGGCACTAAAAAAAATTTTATTGTACAATAGTTTAAGCAACCATTAGAAAACGCACACAATTCATAACAGGTTAACATTAGTGCCAAAGATAATCCGCCCTGTAGTAGATCTAATACCAGCAAATGCCAGGTGGCTCGCCCTCTTATATATCAAATCCAAGAAACAAATCAAAAGGAAAGGTGGCTCCTGGAAATGGTAATTGATAGAAACCACCCTCTTTTGTTCATAATCCACTGCTTCAACTGGACTTGCCAGACGACCCCCACCTCCGGGCTTTGGTCATCGCTACCCCCCATTACCTCTGGGGGGGGGGGTGCAAGACCCACTGTTTGAAAAAAAAAAACTCTGCCCTAATCTTTTCAGATAATGCATCTGAAGAAACTGTATATCCTTGTATATCAAGTGCTTAAAATACAAAATACTAGCCATAAAGAACTCTGGAAACTTAAATGTTGCCATCCTTATCTACCATGGCACTATCAAAAATAAAGTTAGTTTTCTTTCATTGAAAATATTTCTGATAAATACTTCTACCCTTCCTCCCCCATCTGAAGATTTCGATGGGTAGATCGTGAGTAGGCACACTTTAGTTAACAGAGCATCCCTACCCAGGATATTCCAACAGAGGAGCCATTTGTGTAGGGAAAGGACTGAGAAGGAGAAATGCATCAACGTGTAGAAAATAAGATTACGAGTATCCTCCGCAAACCCCGCAGGGATTGACTAGCCTTTGAGGAGATGAATAGAGAAAAGGTAATGCAGAAGGGTGATTAGGGTGAAATGGAAGTGGGGAAATTGGGCGTGGGAGAACCTCTCGGAAGTGTCTGGGTCTGAACCCCAAACTTAAATCAATGACTCCAGCTGTAGAGTCCAAAAACGGGAAAGTCAGTTTGATATGCTAAAAGCCTATAGCTCCAAAGCTCGAGAATGACGAGACATGCTGCCCCCCCCCATCACAGTTGTGTCTTAAATAGGTCAGCATATACCCCGGTAGCTGGAGACTTTTTTTTTTGAGAGGGGAGAGAACAAGATCGTCTCAGGAAGGTACTGAGTGTAGGAAGAAAGAGGAATCATATGAAACCAGGGATATAGGTAAAATGTTACACACTTGGGACATCATACTCAGGCCGTCCTGGAAGCGTCCACAGGAACAAATCTGCCCAGAGCCTAAAACAGTTACGTATTCAAACAGAATAAAATATTTTAATGTGTTGTAATAAACGCATGTACCTCACTCGTATAATCATTGAAGAAGTTAATAGTTTGAATTAGAACTGTTTTAGTGCAAGAAATTAATCTCTTACTTTGCGATTCCCTTCACCTTCTAATATCTATTAATCCATCTAATTGTAGATTATCGCTAGTGGAAGTCACAGAAGAAATGAATGCCAATACGTACTCTGTAGAAAAACCTGAATTTCGACAAATGTTCCATCAAATCCTACAGTTAATGTATACTGCTTTAAGTCATAATGGTACATGCTAGGTTTGAGAATCGATTAACAAAGTAGACAAACTTCTGTATTTGTTCGTGTAAACTAGAATTGTGAAAAGATTCTCTTTGTAAGATTAAGATGGGTCATGTTTCAAGCTTTCAAGAGATCTTTATTTGTGAAGCCAAATAATATACAACCGAAGTACTAAAACATTCTACATTTTTGATTATAGAAAAAACAAAATGGTGTAGGTCATACATAGCCTTAATACGGTGTCCATGAAACAAACGAAACAGTCAGTTTTTAAATCGAAGATAAATATTAGACCAGAAAACTACAAAGCGTAAGTTTGCTAATTAAACCAGCTAAATTATTAATACTTATGTTAAGTTAATATACTTAGTGATGTCGTTAAGAGACAGTCTGAAAGATTTGATCCCACATGTTGCATTCTTCTTCTTTAAGTCCTTTAGAAATTTTGCTTTCAAATGGAGCGAGATCATGATACACAGGATTTTCAGATGAATATGTTGACCATTCTGGAACGGCATTCGATATGGTGCTGATAAAAATAAATGACTTACTCTATGAGCAAATCCTTACAGTTCCGTAACTACTATTCCCTAACTTGTTTTCTTTACTTTTTCAAGTTAATTCTTTGACTTTAACGGTTGTTTGGCGTAACAACTAACTCAATCTATTTTTTTTACCATTCTTATGTTTACAAGTTCCATGTTCGAATAAATCGCAAATTGTCAAACGAACTTTCATATACGTTATGTACGTAAACAACATTTGAAGCAGCATTTATGAAGTGTGTGTGTTTCTCATTGGTATAAATTATTGTATTCTTCAGTTTGGATTTCTGGGAGATGTTTGTTTGGAGGTCGTAGAAATAACGAGAGTAGGGTGTTCTTTGAACAAAAGCGAAGTTATCAAAGTGAAAAAATAATATTCGTTCACTAAAGAAATAATTAACTTTCCACGACTTTATTATATTTTTTTGTCAAATGTTTTACCAGTTACCGATATTATATGGTAATATTGATTACTAGATTAACATTCGTTAATATCCGCCTTCAAGCAAATAGTTCTAAACAAGAGATGGTCAGGAAAGTAGGAACTGTAAACTATAATTAAATCACCTAAACTATACATACTTGTCTTATCTCCCTATTTTATAAAGATCCGAAACATTTCTACTATTTTATTAACTAAGCTTTACAAATAATTTTTACAAGAGTGTTGTTTTTCATATATTAATATCTATAATTTTGTATAATTAATAGTAACTGCAAAAATTGTTTAAAAATGTTACAATATAATGAGAAGAAAAACTCACCCATGTCTTGCAAACGAAGTCCATATGGCCATGATTTTCTTACTAAACCACAACTCTACTAAAGTATAGTTGCGAGGATAACGAAGGGGAAGCCCAAAAACGAATTGAACTTCATCAAAATGTGGAACTCCTGTCCATTCCTGCCAGATTGTGTTAGATGGTCGATGCGAGAACAAATAATAGTAGACTTTGTTTGTTTTTTCGGCCCACTTACGCGAAAATAATATACTAGGGCAGACAACTATATAATCTCCATATGCTTCAGAAATTCTCTGTCGGAGAGCCCTGTAATCTGAAGTAGATTTTATGTACTGATCAGAGATAAGATCAGAAACTGACTGAGGAAAGCTTTGAAACAAAGATTTGATGTAAAAGTTAGCTTTATCTGCAGTCAGATTTTTTATTTGACTGTCATTGAAAAACTGTGGAATTAAAAGGGCTGTTAATATTGAACCCTCATCCCTATTGTTACCGATAAGCAAGTTCACTGTATTCAAATCTTCGTTATTCAGTGCTTCTAAGGGATTTATGGGAAGAAAGTCATCTCCGTTAGTTGGTATAAAACTAATTGCCATTTCTTTTATCAGCTTACTTTCTTCTTTTATCAGCTTTTGAATACTCAATTTACGAAGACAGTGAACTACATTTTTTGGCTCGTTTATTAAAGATGTATTTTCATCAGCACATCCAAGAGACCTAGCAAACATTTCTCCTCTTACAATATTCAAGGTTGGGTTAGCATCTGCGAGTGGATGGTAAAAACTTCCACTTTGAAGTATAGCTCGATTAAACAGCCCACGACTCCATGGTGACACTAAGTGCAGACTTACGGATACAGCTCCTGCACTTTCTCCAAATATCGTTATTTTATCAGGATCGCCTCCAAAGGCAAAAATATTATTTTTAACCCATAAAAGTGCAAGGTATTGATCATGTAAACCCATGTTTCCTGGTGCATCTTCCGTTCCTGCACTGAAAAATCCTAACACTCCAATTCTATAATTCATGGACACAACGATAACGTCCCCGAAAGCTGCTAGTGTTGTTCCGTCATAGATATCGTTGGTGGATGAGCCTGTGTTGAACCCTCCACCGTGAATCCAGACAAGAACAGGTTTAAGAGTTGGTGTTTTCGGTGCCCAGATATTGAGATACAAACAATCCTCACTTATCTCTTCTTGTCTTGACACCCACTGTACTTTTGGAAAAGCCTCGACATCTTGAACACATTGGGGTGACTTTTTTGTAGCTGCAAATACTCCAAACCAGGATGTAATTGGTTTGGCTTTTTTAAAGCGCAATTTTCCTATAGGCGCAGTAGCGTACGGGATTCCCAAAAAAGAGTGGATTTCTGTGAATGTGGTATCTGTATTTTGAACTAGCATCCTTAGTCCTTCGATGCGACCACAAGGAGTATCAACAGCTGGAAGTAGGTTCCATGTGTGGCAACAGTTGAGACAGACTACTAGAGCTATAACTAGAAGAACTTCATTTTGTCCATACATATTTGGTTGACGAACTGGAAAAATTCAATTGTACATTACAAGTCGTTTAACGCACAAACACAGGACATACCATTATTGATATTGGAAAAACAGTTCTACATTTCTTTTAAATACATTTGATAACTGCAAAATTTATTTTGTTCAGTAACGTGGGTTTTGAGAAGAGAGAATGTGTTGCGATGCCAATGCTGATTGATTTGAGTGTTTCTGTAACATTTCGTATAGGAACTTGACTAAGGATTTACATGTGAATATTACTAAATTTTTAAAAATTCAGTGTTCTAAAAGGTTTCTTATAAACAACTTGTAAAACTTTACTTCTTTCAATGTAACTCTGATTATCATGCAGTTGGTCATACTTAAATGGAGAAGAAAAATTATGATCTGTTCGTTCGCTTTCCGTGCATAATGAACTACATGCACTGTGTCCCAAAGATCGAAACCCAAAATTTAGCATAATCAATAAGATTGCAGTTTTTCTCCAGGATATGGGGGGGGGGGAGAAACTACTTAAGTAATTACAATGGTGAATATATAAATGTAGTTATTCATTACATTACACCGACGCACCAAACACAAAGTACTCTTAATAACCAAATGTAACCTTTATGTACATGTAATGTGTGGGGTGCTTGTCTAGGAAAGTAGGGGGGGGGGGGTCTTTTACTCACTATTAAAAAAAAATGGTGCATTCTGAAGATAAATCTTTAGTATTCTTCAAATAAAGATGGATATTCTTTAAATTGAAAGAGCCATTAATTCACAAATAAATCTTAAACCTACATACAGCAATACAACGTGATATCATTTATTTGCTAAAACAAGAACAATATAAAAATATTTCATTAAAAAGAAATGGCCGAAAAATAATGAACTGGCGACAGACTTTATTGACCACAAGAATAATACTTGATGTCATTAGGAGTTGTTTGACTGAACAGAATTTTGATAAAGTCAGAAAGAAAAAAAAACACCTTTACATTGCAAATTTTTAATATCAAAACATTTCTATGTACAAGCCCTGAAGTAAGCCGTTAAGGCAAAACGTTGGTTAAGATAAGTTTTATAATTATCTGGAGTTTGTAGGTCCTCTTTTAAAAACTTTATCATAGAAGTGTGTAAATTACTATAGTATACGCTACAAATTCTGAACAGAAAATTAGCAAGATTTGCACTCTGCGCCGCGATGACTTGACAAGAAGTCAAATTCCACGATAATTAGTCATTACGTGAGACTACATGTATGACCAAATATCGTCGTAAGACATAGAGAGTGCCTTACTATGTTTGTCACGATAATTATGTCGTCAGTACCTTTAAGTCTCCAAGTCGCAGTGAGCTTGATAATAGTATAACCCCTTAGGAAAATAGTTTTATTTATTTTTTTCAGTTAACAGAATAACTGTAACGTGAATTAAAACCATAAATGATAAGGGTACATTAATCACTTCTGGATATGCTCTCTTTAAGCATCATAAAAACTTTACCTTGTATTAAAAGCATAAAGTAGGCTAAATTATATTAGGCCCACGTGACAGGAGTTAGTCCTGAATGGCGCCATTTTTGTTAACTTCTTGGGAACTTTCGAATGTGAAGACAGACTTCGAAAATGTTAGTATTGCCATACAAGAAAAAACAAAGTTGCCAGTGGTGATGTTTTGGACAGTCCAGAAAACTAGTTTATTTGAAAATAAACTGAATTTTCGAATACCGTAAAATATAAAAAAAAACTTGAAACAACTTGTTCTAATCATTCTAAGATCAGACAAGAACCCCGAATTATCAGTAACAACAACAAAAAAAAAACATTCAAGATTTATTTTGAAGAATTTTAAAGTGACCGAGCCCCAAATAACTAACCAACCTAAATTATTGTGAGCCTTGATCTTCTTTCTTTGAAGCATCAATTAATAAGGACTAAGCCAATGTCAGGAATGTTTGTATAATGCTGGCAGTGTTTTGTAATTGGTTTGCATCGTTTGAGCTAAACTTATCAATTGAAGTCAGTTAATTATATTCAATAATAACTAATTAATGACACAATGTTGTTAGATATTGTGTTTTACATTACTTTTCTTATTGTTTTAATTGCAAAATTTGACCGAGAACAACCAGTTCTGGTGCTTGGCGCTATGAAACTCCAACCCACTGACAACAGATAGGTAATTTAGTGAACTTTCACATAATTTAAACAAACAGTTCGTCACTCACTCGGATTAAATTATTCTATTTGAGTCGACGACTTACGATTTATTTTGATTTGAAATAATAAATTGTCCCGTGGCTTAACATTATTAATTATATTCTATGGAATAATCCTAATACTGCCAAGACAACATTCTTAATTTTGGATTTTTCTTTATATGTTTTGAGTATTTACCTTCAAGAAAAATAAAATTTTATTTTAATTTCTAATATATATTTATACTTGCCTTTCCTCCGATGCGTTAGAGCTATGTTCGTTGATTTTGTCCGTGTTTGTTTCACTCGTCTAACCTATATAGGTAGAACACTCTTAAAGCTCACCCTTAAGGAGACTGGTCTTTTATATGCAGGTTGTTCCCGAAAAATTGGCAGGCTTCCAGAAAAAAAACTTTATATGATGTATTGGGGGGAGGTATATTTAGTCGGGTATTCTTGTGAATTTCATGTCAATAGAGTATATACTTAATTTTATTTCTTGTAACTCTGAATTTCAATAAAATAAAATGCTTAAGTAAAATACTGTTTGGCAAAATTGAACTCAAAGTACAGGAAATAGACAGAACTTTTAAACAAAATAAGTTTGTTATAATTCTTCAAATGATAAATTTACTCCATTTTATTCTGAAGAGAACAGCCTATTGCAACATCGTAATGGTAGCAGTTATGGTTTAGTAACCATAAATACTGATATTTTACTGAGCATATCTCAGTAGTAACTCGGTTACAATATATTAATTCTACAGCTCACGTCCACTTACCTAACAAGTTACATATTTTATGCTAAATTCTAAAAAGTATTTCAGATATAATCCTCAAATATGGATGGAAAATATTTGTCACAACAATTGAATTTTTCAGACAAGTTTATAACGCATAGCAAAAAAAATAAATAAATAAATAAAAAACTATGTATATTTTACTTACCCAACAAAATAAATAAATATATATATATATATAAAAGAGGAAGTTTGTTTATTTTGTTCGCTATAGGAAACCAAACGGTTGAACTTACAAATTTTAAAATAACTTTACGATAACCAGTTTTTTACAAGAAATGTAATAGTGCTATTTATTTTGTATTTGGTGTAGTACTTAAAGACGAAATTGACAATGATTATTGCGCTATTTTTTTGTATATAAACATACAAACATCACGTTTTGCACATAGCGTTATGGCGGGAGACACTCAGATCACCTTGCTGTCAATTCAGTATTTCCTAAAAACACTTCTTTAAATAGTGCTAAGTGGTTTCATAAGTGATTTAGTAACTTTGTAAATTGCAAATTA